AATTATGAAAGTTTTAAATATTCGCATTAATATGAAGTTTTATATTTAAAAAAAATGCTAGCATTTGTGAACGGAGAAGGGTCGTTTCTTCTTTTAACTTTATTCGTATTCAAGAGAAACTCGTTCGTGGTTTCGGACAATTAGTCATTTAAATAATAAAATTTTGTAGTAACATTCATTTCTGTTTGATTTAACAACTTGTCTGTCTAATCTGCTTTCACTTTTCTAATCAGTTCATCGATATCAAATTCTTCGCGTATATTTAGGTTACTCTACAGAAAAACATTGAAAAGCAGTTATAATTGAACTACGTTTAATTTTTTTTTGACCCACGTCTAATTTTACGCTTTCCATTGCCAATTCCGATATTAGTCTCTTATTAGTAGTCCCAATAAATCTTCAAAAAATTACAGAAATACACTAAAAAATAATTTATTGGATAACCGTAAATCAAATATTATTAGTGCATTGCTGCAAAGCGACAAATTCTTTCAGAAGAGTTTGTATATCCATCATCAAGAACCGTCATATCCAAACAGACGATTTTTAACTGCGATTCGTAATGTGTGATTGAGAATAATTTGGTTGAGAATTTTCATATAAAGTTGCTTATTCTATTTCACTCAATCAATTTCTTCAGTTGGTTGATTTCCCCTTTAATTGGGGAACATCTATAAGAAATAATAATTATTATTTGCTGCATGAAAGAGTTTATATTATACGATAAAATGTATTAATGTCTGCTTGATTAAAACTTTATATACCCATCTTATGTGCTCAACACAATGATTGTCATAGGCGACGGACACAATGGTAAGTTATTCCTATTTTCGGAATAGGGGTTCAATTTCACCGACTTTTTGCAACAATATAGGAATTGGAAATCAAAGTGCCTTAATCACCTAGCTGAAAGTTGGCTTTCATTGATATATTCAGGACACTAATTATGTATGGTGTTAACTAGGTTTCATTTTTGAGATTCGACGTTTCAACTATTTGTATGCAGAAGAGGTGTGAGAAACGCTCTCTCAAAGTCGTCAAAACCCGCGTGTGCAAAATTGCTCAAAATTTGTGATGGTATTGGTTGTTTACGGCTGCATTTATATCAGAAAACAGCTGTAAATTGAAAATTAAATAAATTTCAACCATAATTCTTAAGGTAGAAGAAATCCCTAAAACCATTAAATTCAACTTCTGTAATCCCCCAGCAGATTATTTTACACCTCTTATTGTTTGTTTTAATTGCGGCAGATTTGGTCGCATTCTGCAAGAGTAAAGAAGTTCGCTGTCTTAATCGTGATAAATCAACAAACACGTTGGCCTTGATAAATGGTCGAATGTTAACCCCTACGAAAAGATATGTGAAATTAAATGGACACGAGATAATTCTGCCCATATTGTTAAGCTATATAATCGTGAACCGGTTAGAGCGACTATTGAAGATGTGCGCGATGGTTCGACAGTGCGTGCCTCTTTGCTATCGATTCCGTTTGTCGAAGAAGCACGTTATTTTGTGGAAGCTCGGTTATTGCAACGTGAAGTGAAAATCTACCTAGAATCGGTTAAAATTGGAACAATTCTTCATCCTAGCGGCAATATATATAAATCATTGTTTCGCGAAGCATTGGCTAAGTGCGTGGATTGCTCAGTGGCTGTAATAAAAGACCATAAGTTTAAGAACACAATGCAAATGTTTTGTCAAGAGCATCTCGATCTCCAATTTAAGATTAAACCTTTTTTTAAAATTGAAAACATGGATGCAGTATGGATTTTCTAGGCCAGATTCAAGATGTTTTGGCTTTTCATTCAAGGCTTTTGCATTAGTTTTTTGGTCTAGTGCTTTAAATTGCCAGAGGACCTTGTGTTTTTAAAATCCTTAATAGTATTTCAAGCATTGTGAGAACAACTTGACGGACTCCAAAATTTTATGGTCTAGATAAGTTGACCAAGGAACCACTTCACCCCGGCTACAAAATTTTGCGTACAATAATTCAGTTTCTTTAAGCCTAATAACAGTCTTTAAATCTTGCTTTTCAGTATCGTGTGCTGAAAAACTACGCGCCGCTGAACGCATTGCAAAAGAAAAGCGTTTATGTTTGTAAGATATCAAGTCAAATGCTCAACATTTGAACTACAAAGAAAAAGATTTTACAGGCACAGTAGTGGAGGTGTTTAATGGCGATGCTATCAATGTTAAACTTCCTAATGGTTTAATTAAAAAAGTGTTCTTTTCATCAATACGCATTCCCCGAGATACCCGTTCTGTTGTAGGGGCCGACGGTGAGGAAGTTGTCAAAGCTCCGCCACGTGGTGAGAATTACCGACCGTTGTACGAAATTCCCTTTATGTTTGAGGCACGGGAATTCCTGCGTAAGAAACTTGTTGGTAAGAAGGTTCAATGTGTTCTGGATTATATATCGCCTGCGCGTGATAATTTTCCAGAAAAGTACTGCTACACCGTACTTATTGGTGGGCAGAATGTTGCAGAGGCCATGGTGGCTAAAGGTCTGGCTTCCGTGGTACGCTATCGCCAGGATGATGATCAACGCTCTTCTTGCTATGATCAACTTTATGCTGCTGAAAACCAAGCCATTAAAGGTCAAAAAGGCATGCATGCAAAGAAAGAGAACACTCTGTTACGCGTTAACGATCTTACCCTTGATCATTCCCGCATAAAGGTCCAATACTTACCTTCATGGCAACGTGCCTTACGCACAGAAGGTATAGTAGAATTTGTTGCTAGCGGTTCACGTCTACGTCTCTACATTCCGAAGGATAGTTGTTTGGTTACTTTCCTATTAGCAGGCATTTCTTGCCCACGTTCATCGCGCCCCGCTTTAAATGGGGTACCTGCACAAGAAGCTGAGCCTTATGGAGATGAGGCACTGACTTTCACCCGCGATCGTGTTCTTCAACGTGATGTTTCCGTTCATATCGACACTACTGATAAAAATGGTACTTCAGTGATTGGATGGTTGTGGCTGGATAACAACGTAAATTTATCTGTTGCTCTGGTGGAAGAGGGTTTGGCGGAAGTGCATTTTAGTGCTGAGAAGTCTGAATATTATCGAATGCTTAAGAATGCAGAAGATCGTGCCAAAGCGGCCAAGAAGAATATCTGGGCCAATTATGTGGAACAAGTAGTAGAAGAGAAACCTGTTGCAGAAGAGGCAGAAGACAAAGTTGTTTCGGAGCGTAAAGTTCAACTTGAAGACGTCATTGTTACTGAGATTACTGAAAATTTATCATTCTTTGCTCAATCTTGTGCCAGCGGTGCTAAGTTGGATGCCTTAATGGCTAAGTTACATGCAGATTTCCAAACTAACCCACCCATCGTGGGTACTTACACTCCCAAACGTGGTGACTTGTGCGCTGCACAATTCTCTGCAGACAACCAATGGTACCGCGCCAAAATTGAACGTGTTCAAGGCAATAATGCAACCGTGTTGTATGTGGATTACGGCAATAGAGAGGTAAGTTGTGGTATATTTAAATTTTTAATATTATAACTTGCAAGCTCCTTAGATCTGTTTCCGTCTTAAAGTGAAACTTATGAGTCATAAGCTTGCTAAATGAAAGCTACTTTTGAATCTTTAAACTTGACAACAGTGTGGTTTGATCCATAGCTTGATATGAGCTTAAACTCTGTCATCGCCAATTACTGCAAATTTCGTGGTAATGAAAACCAAGTCGGGACATGAATAAAGAGGCTTTAATATATTTTTAGAGCTTTACTTTTGAAAGTCCTAGCAAAAGTTTCCATTACGCTCCAGCTGCAGTTGATGATTTGAGGGCTACATAAGACTCTGTTGTAAGAAGAAATGAAAAGTTACATAATCTCTTGTTGCAAATAAGAAGTTTCCTTCGGTTTTTATTGCAATTATATAAAAATTTATTTTTGTCAGGTTGTGCCCTTTAATCGTCTGGCAGGTTTACCATCTGCCTTCTCCAGTGAGAAACCTTTTGCTACCGAGTATGCCTTGGCTTTGGTACAACTGCCCCAGGACAATGAGGATAAGGAGGAAGCGTTGCGTGCCTTTGCGGAAGACGTACTCAACCGTAAGGTTCAACTGAATATAGAACTGAAGCCATTTAACAGCCTTCCGTTAGCTACGGTTTACGATCCCTCTACCAATGTTGATATTGGCAAACAACTGGTCGCGGACGGTTTGGTATTAGCCGAGAAACGTGGCGAACGGAAGCTGCGTGAGCTGGTCGATCAATATTTGGCCGCCCAACAAGCTGCTCTAGCTGCGCATTTAGCTATTTGGAAATACGGTGACATCACCCAAGATGATGCGCCAGAGTTCAGCCGTTAAGTGCAAACACCATGCGCCTCAGCGAATTGGAGGTTTGTCTGCCACATACCCGCCCTTTAAAACAATAACAACAAGCAACAAAATGAAATAAACGATTACATACAACCGCTATCGTATAAAAAGAACGAACACGAAAGAAGTTCCCACTTATTAAAACAAACAAACAGATCCAATCTTCTTCTTCGATATAGGTTATACAGAAAAATTACGACAACAACAACAACAACAACAGCAAAAGAAAATACATTATTCATAGTTAAGCTTCCGAATTTTAAGAGCAAAGACATAAACTATACTATTGCAACAATAACAACAAATAACCCTAAAAATTTCGAAATGAACACCAAGGCAACAATAGCAACAAACAACAATTCTCAAACGATAAATTCCCTTTTTTTATACAACGCGCAAGAAAATTTAATGGTAACTCATTCGTAAAAGGCAAAAGTAAACTAAAAAACGAAAAAAAAGATTTGAAAATTACTACGGAAATATAATAATACTTATCTAGAATATAAACCGCTTCCTCTTTCGGATTAAACATCTATTATGTACGAAAAAATAAAAAAAAATTTTCTTCCTTTCCCTGCTTTCCCTCCCTCTCCCTTGGCTTAGTGTTTATATGCACTCACTCTTAATTCCAGTGTGTTGTCTCCTTTACTATATTTGACTCAAATTTATTTTTTTAAATTTGCTTTCACTCATCTTTAGATTATTATATTTGATGCTTTGTAAACGACTTATTAGGTGAGATAATAAATAAATTTTGCTTTTTTTTTTTTAATTCAAGAGATGCAAATACGTTACAATTTCTTAAAAGGAGAAGATGTATTCAAAATAATTATTGAAATGAAATTGTTTTTAATATATTTTTTATTGCATAATTAATTCTATTTTTAATTTTTTTTTTTGAAGACTTTGCGATTTAACTATAAAAAAAAATAAAGCAAGGGTTACATAAGAACATTCACATGGCTGGACGAAGCTTTCACTTGTGGAAATGGAAACATAGTCTGGAAATTGACTATGATTGCAGAATATAGAGTTAGAATGTAAACAGTAACTCGACTAACCTGCTAGATATTTTAACTAATTCAAATTTATTCGATCTTCGTTGAAGATTTGTGCACGGGATTTAATAATGAATCAAACTAACCTCACAATGAAATATGCACATCATCATTGCCGATAGAGCGATACGGTAGCATGTATTGTTAGATTTTGAGCAATTGATAGTGAGGATTTCTCATAGTCATTTAAAACCTCCTTGTTTTCCATGCAACAATATTACAAAAGCTTACATTTTCTTCCCCACTTGTTTATTCATTTAAAACAAGATCGTCTATCTACATCCTGTTCAATTATGTCTCCATGGCTAAAAATTACTGAAAGTGGACGTTTATATTTTCTAATGCTTCTGTAAAGAAAATATTTAACATCGTTATGTATTATGAGAAGAAATTCTGAATTATGAAAGTTTTAAATATTCGCATTAATATGAAGTTTTATATTT